TAATCCAATAGCCCTGAATTTATTTACCATACAATTATATTCTTACCTCGATCTTAACGAAGAGTTTTGTAGGGCTTACTTAGTATGTAGGTTTGCATTAGTCCAGGAAGAAAGTGACATTTGGGGAAGTAAAGGCCTGAGCCAACAGGTAACTTCACTGCCTTATTCTAATGTTAATTTTAGGTATCAATTTAGAGGGTATTTATGAATGACATTAAATATTTAAATTGGTAAACTGTGAATAAAACAGATTGCCCTCCACTATGTTGGTGGACCTCATCCAATCAGTTTCAGAGCAGAAAAAAAAGGCCTCTCAGAGCAAAGGGTGAATTGTCAAACAGACCGACTTTGTTCTTCATCTGTACCACTATTCTACTGGGTTACAGCCTGCCAGCCTTAGGAATAGAACTGGAACAGAGCTCTCCTGGGTCTTGAGCCTTACTAGCATCCACAATTACACAAGCCGATTCATTACACTAAATATATTTCTTTATATACACACATTCTACTGGTTTTATCTGGAGAGCTCTAATATATCCATGAATATCTTATCCGAGTTGGAAATTCACATGAGTATCCTGTATCAAATGAATAAACTTTTCAAAGGCAGAGTTTGAAAACATGTGACGTTGAGATTTTGCTGAATAATTCAGCTTTCTGTTCCATTCTGAATTAGGTAGCCTAAAACCAGTTTCTAATTTCCCACTCTCATTAATGAATACAATATTTCAACAATGTAGAGGAAATTTACATCACAAAAATTCAAAAAAGTCTATTAGCAACTATTATGCAGTTACCCTAATCGTCAACCTTAATACTCTTATTAATTTCTCAGACTAAATCAGTTATGGATCATTGAGAAAAATCAGTCTACAAACTCACTGAGCTTTAGGACTTATCTGTTCTTAAGGTGATTACAATAACATGACAGTTTAAATAATAGAGAATTCCAAGACTTAAATTAATGTAATGGTTAGTCATCACATGGTATAAAGAGTGGGAGAGGCCCTGGAAGTCAATTTGCTAAATTAAAATTTTAACAGAAAGCTTTTCACAACCCAAAATGGTACTCTATACAGAGCAAGAGCAGAAACAAAGGCAAAGATATGAGGACATGTTTTGAAAAGAAAACATTTGAAAAAAAAAGACTGTATGCTTTTTCAGTTTACTAGGAAAACTCACCTCAGGGGAAAAAAAAAATTCCATTTGTAATTGGAACTCCCAGGCAGCAAGCATATGTATAGTATTACTTTTGTTAAGGTGACTGAATTGTCATTATCTCCGGCATGCTATCGTGAATACACAGGGCTTGTGGGTGAGGAGTGGATTAAGATGGACCATGAGATTCTCACTGGAATAAATACCACACTTAAAAGTCCATGCTGCTGCTTCCCCTTAGTGATTGAAAAGTTCAGGGCTAATCACCAATGCCCTCACTAGCACTGACTAAATATTTTGAAAGAACATACTATCTTTATTGCTTAGAGCATCATGTTTATCTCAAACTGTCATAAACATTGACTGATGTAGTTTATGTCTGAAATCATTCTGTTTTCCAGAAATTTCTATTTTATTAAGATTCTAACAACAAAGAATGTTCTTTACCTGGGGATTACACTAGAAAATATTGCCCCCATGTAGCATTTCTTTTGGTTATTGCTATACAGAAGTATTCAAATGCACACATTCATACACAAATAATCTACCACCCATTTACTATCTAGGGACATTGTGGCTTCTTCCTGCTTGCACAACATTCTTCCTTCAAAGTTAACAAAGAGATTTTCACATGTCTTATCTTAAAATGTTTGGTGTTTTTTTAGGTTTAATTTCAGAATCGACTGGGACTTATTTTACAGTATGGTGAGATAAAAAAGAAATCAAACTTTTTAAATTGAATGGCGAATTAATTGTTTTAAATATTAAAGAAACCATCCTTTACCATTATTTTGAAATGTCACCCTTAACATACATCTACACAGGTCTATATCTATCATCACTAGTAAGTATTTTAGTTTTAGAATATTTTTTTTCACAATTTTAAAATAGTATAAAAATCATTCTTGTGCCCACTTTATAATCAATTTGTTCAACTTCCCTCACTTTTCAACCTACCCCACCACGCACACACCACCACCATGATTCTGACTGGCTGTCACTTATCTATTGACTTTAGAAATAAAAAATTAAGACTATAATTTTCTACAACCCATACTTATGAATGTATATTATCAAGGTTGTTAACTGATTTTCCTCACAGGTCTGATTTGCCATCCATCTTTGTAATTATGAAATCTTCATGACACTGTTTCTAATTTATTTTTCATTTTTCCAACTAAATCTAAGTTATAAGTTATGTTATAACTTGGTAGTTATAAAATCTAAAATACTTATTAGTGATGATAGAACTACAAGCACTGTGGTTTAAAATATTGTGTAGGTTTTAAATATTTTGTTTGATTAGATTCAAATTTGCTTATTTATGAATCTGAAAAGAAAATCAAACCTGCTAATCATGTTATTCAAATTCTTCATATCCTTATCATTTTGGGTCTACCTAATATGACAATTTTTGAAAATATATATTAGCATCACCATGTGGCTATGGTTTTGTTAAATTTTCTTTCTCCTTATAAGAATTTAGAAATGATGTTTTGTGTTATGTTATTTAATGCGTAAAAGGCCCTGTTAGAATGTTACCAAATGGCTTGGTGCACAAAATTCCTGCACATTAAAAGGGGTTAATTAGAGGAAATAATTTAATATTGCTATTTCTCCTTTCTCTATAATAGAAGTGTCAGAGATGGAAGAAAATTAGTAAAATGTATATGAAAACCTTCCTCCTGTCAGAGTCTGGGGCACACCACAGGACCCAGAGTCAAGTACCCCCACCCACATGAACCTCAAAATCACGTGAGACCCTGTCCTGGCCGAGTGTCCCCCACCCCCGCCCCGCCCTATTGGCTAGATCTAGACCCAGCCAGTCCCACCCTCGTCAAGCCCCACTGAGAAGGGGGCAGAGCCTCAGATCCTCTGGCCCTGTGCCAGGATGGGGAGCGGGGCCTGAGGTCCCCCAGCCCATACCAGGGCAGTGGGCATGCCGTAAGGTCCCCCATCAAGCCCGGGTGGATGGATGGCATGGCCTGAGGTCCTCCATCAAGCCCTGCCAGGCATGGAGGTGCAGCCTCAGGTCCCCTGGCCCAGCACCAGGAGGGGGGCACAACCTCAAGTCCCCCATCAAGCTCCACTAGCAGGGGGCGTAGCCTCAGGTCCCCTGTTAAGCCCTACTGGGTGGGAGGCACAGCCTGAGTTCCCCCAACCCAGCACTGGGGATGTACTTTGAGGTCCCCTGTCAAGCCCCACTGGGTGGGGGCACAGCCTGAGGTTCCCTGTCAAGCCCAGCCAGGCAGGGGGGCACAGCCTCAGGTCCCCTGGCCCAGTGTTGGGGTGGGGACATGGCCTGAGGTCCCCTGCCCTGGTGCTGGGATGGACTGTGCGGCCCGAGGTCCCCTGTCAAGCCCTATGGGGGTGGGGGAGGGCATAGCCTCAGGTCCCTGATTGCTCATTAAGGCTCCTTATGAGCTCAGCTGTGAGTGCAGCCATCTTTGTGACAGTGGTGGTCAATTAGCATATTCCCTGTTTATTAGATAGGATATAAACACTTTTTCTTTATTTTTCCATGCAGGGCATCCATGCTAAAAAATTATTTTCACAACTTGCCAAAACCGGTTTGGCTCATTGGTAGAGCATCGGTCTGCGGACTGAAAGGTCCCGGGTTCGATTCCAGTCAAGGGCATGTACCTTGGTTGTGGGTACATCCCCGGTAGGGGGTGTGCAAGAGGCTGCTGGTCAATGTTTCTCTCTCATTGACGTTTCAGGCTCTCTATCTCTCTCCCTTCCTCTCTGTAAAAAAATCAATAATATATATTAAAAAAAAGTTTTATTTTCACAACTCATTTGGCATGTCTTACTTTCATTGTGTTAGTACTGCCTCAACATATTCTTTTTACTAGAGGCCTGGTGCAGAAAATTTGTACATAGAAGGGTGGAGGAGCCCTCAGCCTGGCAGGACCCTCTCCAATCTGGGACGCCCTCAGGGGATGTCTAATTGCCGGTTTAGCCTGATCCCTTCGCTGGCTCCTAACCACTCACCTGCCTGCCTGCCTGATGCCCCTAACAGCTCTCTCCCACCAGCCTGACTGACCCTAACCGCCTCTGCCTGCTGGCCTGATCACCCCTAACCACTCTGCCTGCCGGCCTGATTGCCTCTAAAAGCCTCTGCCTCAGCCCTGCCATTGTGACTTTGTCCAGAAGGACTTCCAGAAGGACTTCCAGAAGATGTCCGATCTATCTGGTCTAATTAGCATATTATCCTTTTATTAATATAGATTTCCAGTCTGTATATATTAGGGTTTGTTTTCTAAACAGAATACAACTAGATTTGCATTTTAATCCATGTTGGGAATACTTACTTTTATTAAATTACCTGTTAATAATAGGCTAATATAATTTATACTAAAATACCTCTGGGTTATTAAGAAAACTAGTATATTTAGCCTAATTAATGACATTTTTACTTTTCCTGATTATGACACATTTCTATTGTGCTTTTAGCCCTGCCTATTTTTTCTGTGTCTGAATTAAGTTTTGTTTATGTTTTGTTTTTTCACTTTGTAGCCACTTAAAGCATTTCACAACTGATGAAATTCTTTAGATATATGTTAAACTACCAGACTCACCAACTTTTAGTCTCTCTTATGCAGTTAATAGAAAACTAATCTAATTTATGTCCCTTTTTTGTCTAACCAAAAATGAGCATGCAATATTCTATATTGGGGATAATTACAGTAAATCGCCTTAAGACAACACCATTTTGGAATTTAATAATATGTGCCAAGAAAAGAGAGGACAAGTTAACTTCATATTTACTTAATTAGTAAGAAGTTAGTGCCATTTATCTTTCAAACATCTCTGCATCCTGAAAAAGACAAAGCTCTTACCATTTCTTTTGGAATCTGCATCCGGCTTGGCTCTGCATTCTAGAAGAATTGGGGAAGAAAAACATAAATACAAGACTGATCAAAGCCATCTTCAACACACGGGGACATAAAGCTTTAGCTGAAAGAAAATTATGCTTCTAAAATCCACAAAATAGAGTATGTTTATATTTTGGTTGATGTATTACACTGTCTTCCAAACTTTCACTGCGATGCTTATGTTATCTTCTGGGGGAGGGGGGTTAAGAAATTTTTCTAGATGTATGTTTTTAATCGCTCATTCACAGTACATCATCAATTTAATACAGAGAGAAAAACAAATCTCAACAAAGAGCTTTTCTATTCTAGCACTATTTCTAATTTATTTTTAATTTTTCCAACTAAATATATTATAAGTTATATAACTTGATAGCTAGACCAGGTAATGACAGTGTGAACCTAAAGCATTATACTTAAAAATATTACAAAGGTTTTTAATGTGATTTATTTCATATATTATAGAGTAGATTTAATTACAGTTACAAGGTTGATTAATTTAAAATCTACATATTGATAAAAGAATTTCATTGTAGACACAGAATTTATACACAGACACCCCAAACCAATGAAGAGTTTGGTCATTGGATTAAAAGACCATTTTATGCCCTCTTTAAGTTTTTAGAATTTTATTCTTTTAAATCATGACAAGCAGATGCAAAATTAGTAACAGACTGACAGCCTACTGGCTCACTCCTTAATGAAACACTCAAAGGCAATAAATTAAATAACCAAGAAAAAAAAAAAAGTAGGTAGCAGAAGGGGAAAACAGAAGCCTGTAATATCAAAATTGGACAAGAAGAACCTAAATAACCTTAAGCTGACTGTATGTTGGCACTAACTCTGGAAAGGCTGCTTAAGAGCGTGTGCAAGCTTTGGCAATCTAATAATGCTATTACCCAAGCTCACATACTGAGGAAAAATTAAAGCTTCATCAAAACATATCTAAATCTTAGTTTTGCTTTAAATGCAAATTTACAACTTAATAAAGACATCTCCAGATTTAGGATCAGGTGGCATTTTAAGCACAAAATTGGATAACAGTGTGGAGGAAAGAATAATGCATTCAACATTTTAAAATAGAAATTATTCAAAATCTACTTAAAACAAAAGTGCTCACTTGTCATTTTTATCAAAATCTGAAATTTCTACAAAATCACAAAAAATTGGATCTGTTAGTAACCATGAAATCGGATATTCTTATAACTAAAATTTATCTGACACAATTTTATTCACCATGACACATCCATACTTGAAATATCAGCTTAAGAGATTTAGGGCTATAAAACAAATTAGGATCTGTGCCCCTAAAACCTTGCCACCTTAGTATATATGAACTGTTTTATAGATAAAGCTATAAAGCTAGCAGAAAGAGATGTCAAATGTTGTAAAATGACCCAGCTCGAATATTTTTGAAATATTTAAAATACCATTTGTACTTGAAGTAAAACAATTCTCACCACATCAAAAGATAAAGGTGATTCCTCAAATTATATTGTTTTCATATATAAACTAGAGGCCCAGTGCATGCATTCATGTACAGATGGGGTCCGGCCTGCCAGCCCTGCCCAGTTGGGATAGATCGGGGCTGGACCTGTAGGGATCAGGAGTTGGCGGGAGGTTGGCCAGCTGACTGGCCCCAATCTGGGCCCAATCAGGGCTGGGCCAGCTGCAGGTATTGGCTGGCTGCCCTGCCACTGATTGGGGTTATAGGGCTAAATGGGGGTAGGGCCAGCCATGGGGAGGGGCTATAGGCCGGCCAGTGCCATTCCCGAATGGGGTTGGGTGTGCTGATCAGGGGCCAGCGACCTGAGGGAGGGGCCATGAGTAGTTGGTCAGCTGGCCCTACCCCTGATTGTGGTGGGGCTAGGTAAGGAGAGGGGCTTTAGGAGATTGGCCAGCGGGCCCACTCCTATTTGGATGGGGGTGTGATCAGGGATGAGGTGGCCAGGGGGAGAGGCTGTAGGAGGTTGGCTGCCCAGCCCTGCCCTCTATTGGGGTGGGGGTGCGATCAGGGGCTGGCAGGTGGGGAAGGGGCTGTGGGCCTATCGTGGTGGGGCAGGCTGATGAGGGTGGGGCTGAGGACGGTAAGGAGGGGACAATTGGCCCATCCCACTCTTGATTGTGTTGGGAGAATCCAATCAGGGGCAGGACAGCAGGGGAGAAGGGCCACAAGTTTTGCTGGCCACCTGCACTCCTGATCGGGCTGGTTCACTGGCCATAACAACAGGTCGTTATGGCCATTATGATAGCTGGCTTCTTATATTTTATCTAATGAAGAGAGAATATGCTAATTGAGCCTCATGCCATCGCAAAGATGGCAGCACCCTCAGCCAATAAGGAGGGAAAATGCTAATTGACTGCCCCACCATCAAAGACGGTGGTGCCCACCGCCACAAGATGGTGGCACCCAGTCCCTTCAGCCATGCCTGCCCCAGGAGTCACCCAGTCCCCTCAGCCCCCCAGACCCTCCAGGCCAGCCTGAGAACCTGACAAAAGGTGATTTGTAGGCCCTGGGCCACCCGAGGCTCAGGTACCAAGGCCATCAAGGCTTGCACTCTCGCAGTAGAAGCAGCAGAGGTGTGATGGGATGTCTAATTGCCGGGTCACCTCCCACCTCTGAGGGCTTCCAGACAGGAGGGGCAGGTGAGTGAGGGACCACCTCTCTCCAGAGCATAAATTTTCATGCACTAGGCCTCTAGTATATAGAAAAACTTTGCCCTTTTTGCAGAAAAACACGTAGAATTATGTTAACTTAATATACATATTTCCTTTTCACCAGTACTACATAAATACCCTTATCTAATATTTAGATGTGGTGATATATGCATAAAATTGAAACAGGCCCTAACCGGTTTGGCTCAGTGGATAGAGCATTGGCCTGCAGACTGAAAGTTCCCAGGTTCTATTCCAGCCAAAGGCATGTATCTTGGTTGCAGACACATCCAGAGTAGGAGGTGTGCAAGAAGTAGCTGATTGATGTTTCTCTCTCATCAAAGTTTCTAACTCTCTATTCTTCTCCCTTCCTCTCTTTATAAAAATCAATAAAATATATATTCTTTAAAAAATGAAACAGTTTGCAAAAAAATGTTTTTTTCATTTGATTTATGTTATTTGCAGTAATGTTTATGTTAGTAACTAATGGTCATGGGCTTACTGACATTCAAGTCTTTTTATTTTCAATAACAATATTTTAAAGGTATTCCATTTCGTTAAAGAAGCAAGCATCTTTATTTGCTTAGCTACATGGTCCATGAGAATCTGAAATCTGAAGGTTTGTCATAGGTAGTAGAGAACACAGCAAGATTTCACCAAGAGACTCTGAAGTGAGACAGTAATGTAATAATCAACATCACTGTATTCAATCAGGCCATCTGAAATCATTCAGTAATTAATAAACATTTGCCGTCCTAGAAAATATCCCTGCAATCTTATTTTTAAATAACCCTACACTCAACATTGTAGACATCTATTTCTAAACCTGAAGAAATTTGAGAAAAGAATGCCTGTATTAAGTTAAGGTTGAAAGACATACAGAATACAGAAACTGCTTGGAAAATATCCCAATAAACATTGGTTAGGTGGTAGCCCAGACCACCCCTGGCTCAAGTGCAAGAGAAATCTTTCATGTGCTCCAAGGTTACACACCAGTTCCCGTGGGTGGAAGGCATCTTCTTGGCGAAAGACCAGAAGGCTCACTGTCCCTTCCATCTTGGTGCTTCTCAACAGGGAAACAACTTCCTCTTGGGATCTGCCTGCTAAATCTACTCCATTGACCTAAAACAAACAAAAAGTTTTCAGCTGCAATCCTATGCGAACAGATAACAGGAGAAAAGACACACATTGTAGAACAGATCATTTCTGCCATAAAATATAACTCATTCCATGGTAAAATTCTACATAAGCTGGTAACCACCAGGCTGTTTAACGAAAAGGAAAAAAAAAAAAAATTGTGCTTAAAGAAAAAAAAAAAAAAATTGCAGGATGTTTTCTAGAAGTGAGACATGAAGTAGTAAATAGTTCAGTGCTTACCAATAAATCAAAAGCTACAGCCACCAGAGCATTAACAAGTAACAAGTAATAAACAAATAATATAACATGTCAAATTAATACAAAACTTCCTGGCTGTGAACTGAGATATCTTGATGGCCTGTGCAGCTTAGGCTGTTTTACACCAAAATAAAAATTTGTATCTTTTATAGGTGGTAGTAAAAACAAACTAAAAAATATTTTAATTTTCAAAGAAATTCTACTAACAATTATGAAGATAAACTTTTTCGACTCTAAAAGGCTAGCATTAAAGAATAATCTCCACAAAAATAATACTGGGGATTATTTTGTAGAAATAGCAATATTTCACCTCAATATTCTTCAATGTTTTAAAAAAAATTCTACCAAAACAAAAGATTTAAAACAACCAAGTCCTGAGAATTGCATCATTTTTATTTTGTAGAAAGTATAATAACATCATCGGAAAGCACTATATATTTAACAGAAATGAGAGTAGAATTAGATTTAAAATATGTGAAATGTAGTTTCAACTTTAAGAGAAAGCTAATAGCTATAAAAAAATAAAACCTAATTCAGAAAAAATGCAGGTTGCAAGCCCTTCCCATTGCTAAAAATAAAATTAAAAAATTGTCTTTGTGATGTGTTTTAAACAGTAGAGCAATTATGTGACGAAAGAGAGAATCAAAAATAAAATAAGGAAGAAAGAATGTTACACGGGGACAAATTCAGGGATAGGAAGAAGTCTGGGAAAAAAGGACATTTTTCTGGGGGGAAGAGAGGACTTAGAGGCAAAGATCCAAATCCCAGTTGAGACATTTACTAAATAAAAAAAACTACAAATACTGACTAAAAATAATATTCTAGTTGACCCTTCAACAACATGGGTTTAAACTACACAGGCCCACTCATACACAGATATTTTTTCAACAAATAAATACAGTACTATTAATGTATTTTCAATTCCTTATGATTTTCTTACTAACATTTTATTTAGTTTACTTTATTGTAAGAATACATTATATAATGCATATAATGTGAAATATATGTTAATCAATTATTTATGCTATTGGTAAGGCTCTGATCAACTGTAGAAAACCAGTAGGTGTGAGTTTATGGGGAATCAAAGTTATACTCAATGGTTATGAAATGGACACAGACAGTAAGGGGGTGAGGGCATGTGCTGGGGGTAGGAAATGTGAATGGGGGAAAAAGGAGACATATGTAATACTTTATTTTATTTTATTTTTTAATATATTGTATTGATTTTGTACAGAGAGGAAGGGAGAGAGATAGAGAGTTAGAAACATCGATAAGAGAGAGTCATTGATCAGCTGCCTCTTGCACACCCCCTACTGGGGATGTGCCCGCAACCAAGGTACATGCCCTTGACCGGAATCGAACCCGGGACCTTTCAGTCCCCAAGCCAACGCTCTATCCATTGAGCCAAACCAGTTTCAGCATACGTACTACTTTAAACAATAAGAAATTTAAATTTAAAAAAAGTTATACTAGATTTTCAAATGCACGGGTGTCAGTGTTGTGCAATGATCAATTCTCACAATTTATATACCAAGGACAAGGGGTTCCTTTTATAAACAACACCTTAAGTATAATTTGTACTCAAACATTTCCTTTTATTCAGCCTCTTCTATCAGTGTCTGTTTAAAATATAGTGCCATATGAAATGAGAAAAAAAGAATAAGAGCTTAAGATTTAAGTGATCTAGGTATAAAATGTAAGCATGAAAAAAATCAAGAAATGTTTAGGACAGTTAAATATGGAGAGTTCAAATGACCCAATGATTCCTCTTCTGCCAATTTATCTGAAGAAATCCAAGACACTGAATTGAAAGAATATATGCACCCCTATGTTCATTGGAGAATTATTTAAAAGAGCCAAGAATTGGAAATAGTCCCAAAAATCCATCAATAGATGAGCGAATTAGAAAAACACACTGTGGTACATTTACACAATGAAATACTATTCTGCTATAAAAAGGATGAAAATGTTATCCTTTGTGACAGCATTGATGAACCTGGAGAGCATTATGCTAAGTGAAATAATCCAATCAGTGAAAGACAAGCACCATATGATTTCACTCATATGTGGCATTTAATGAACAAACTGAACTGCCAAGAAAAATAGAAACAGAATCACAGACAGAGAGCGCAGACAGCTTTAGTGGGAGGGGAAAGCAGAGGGAGGGATTGGGAAAAAAATGAGAGAGAACTCGTGGACATCATGGACAACAGTGTGGTGATAGCTGGGGTGAAGGGGGATGATAGGTAGAGGTGGTAAAGGGTATATAGGAGATAAAAGATGATGGAAAAATAAAGTTAAATTTAAAAATGTATAAAAATAGAGGAAAAGGGATAATATAAAAACACTGGAATTTGAATACTATTTAATATCTTGTGCTAAGAATATAGAGTATGTTTTCTGAAGAAAACAGTAAGAAAAAATAGCAAATAAAGTATATTTTACTCACTGGTAATCCCTTTATTTCCATATGCACAAACACACATAAATATACAGAATTTCTGTTTATGTGAAAATCAAAAACATTTCCAAAGACCCATGAACAAAACTCATGAGGCACAGAAAGGAAATTTTGAAAACTGTTTTCTTTTTCTTCTGACATTTGATTATTATGTCTCAATTTTCCATGCTGCCATTTAAAAACTTCCTGTTTCTCTCATTAAAATACAGTTTCATTTACTTCAATTGTCTCTTTTCTGATTAGAAACTAGATAGCATTTGTATATTGCCAGACATAAATTTAAAGCCATCTAGAATATAATATCATAGGCATTGTACTTAAATAATGTCAAAATGTCATGGTACTTCAGAAAACAAATGTCTGGGTTACTAAAACTGAATACTCTAAACGAAAAATGTATTTCTTATCAAATAACATGGGACAACAGAAAAGTAAAGCAGAAATGCATTTTTTCGTGATGCATACTTCTGTTAAAATATGTTTCATATTTTATAAAAATATTTTTAAAAAGTACTTCCAAGAGTTATAGAACTTCTGAGTTGGAAGCCTCTCACCTCCACCAGGCGGTCTCCTGCCTTCAGCCTCCCATCTTGGATGGCAGCCCCCCTGGGGAGGATGTTTTTCACATAAATGGGAGCTGAGCCACCTATTGTTACATCTCTGGAAGTGATGCTGAATCCCAAACCTTCTGAACCTAAATATATAGCAGAAAATGAAAGCAAATAAAATGAGGTTTGTCAAAGTTTACAAGTATATTATACATTTTAAAAAATTGTTATTATTCTCTATACCAACTTAACATTTTATAACTTTCACAATGGCCTACATGTCTTCCAGTATTTTAAAAGTTGCAACAGATTTTTCAAAATAGACTAAATTCTGAATGGTTTAAATGCGTTGCATATCAAAATTCATTATTTTGCGAAAAAATTGGAATCTATCTAAAGACAGTCTAAAGATAATATACATATATAGAAATATGGTTGCTATAAGTTTTTAAATTGGTCTAAACCTTTGATTATGAAAATAAACTTAATTTCTCTATGACACAAAACAAAATTTGTTAAAATACACAGTACCTCCAATAGCAAGTATAATTGTGGAATAATGGTATCTACATTTGACAAGTAGGAAGGTGGAGAGGAAGAGAAATGTTCAGGGAGATTAAAAAGAAATAAAGAGAACTTTTTCTAGATACAGATAACAGAATCTCTCCAAACTATAATTAGTCACAGCAATTTGCCAACAGAATGAAACCATTATAATTGCCTAGTTCTCTTCTAACTCACCTAAATCTGACCATGTACATATGGGAAAAAAAAACAACCAAGGCAAAAATATCCAGTGAAGAACCCATCACAGATCATAGATGGCAGGTCTGAAAATCAACATATCATATTTAAAGGTATTAAACTTAACGAAGCATTTAAGAATTACTATGCTGCTTTGTATAATTTAAATTGAAAGTCATTTGGCAGCTTTCTTGACATTCTTATAAGGTCAATACAGTGTAGAAAGTGCTTATGTATCAATGGAACCAATATGCAATAGGTCATAATAAGCCTAGAAAAAAATGTGAAGATTAAAAATTTCTAATGAATCAAAGAACTTCTATAACATTTTAATAATGACTAATTTCTACTAGAAGTTTTAAAAAAGTTAAACTTAAGATATTAGATTGCATTTCAGTGAAAATGATATTCAAACACATACTTGCTCATTTCAGAATGAATAGATGATGTATAAAGGCAAAAATTTTTTATAACATTCATTCATTTGATTCAGCACTCTGTATAAACTATGAGGAACAGAATATATACTATAAGTAAACAAACAAATATGGGCAAGTAAATACCAATGAAAAAGTGAGTTAAAGAAGAAACATAAAGTAGAAATGAAATATCAAATAATTATGCCTGCATCAAAATCTACTGTAAATATTTTCAAGTTCAAACAAAGCATTCATTTACTGCAAATCTAAAGTCACTTTAAATATGCCTAGACTATTCATTTCTTAAGTCTTCTGTGCTGAAGACTTGAATGGCACATTGTCTTTATGAAATTTTCCTAATTATTCTGCTGGGACTTTTCCACATGTCTCCATGCTTTCATGAAACTCGAATGACTTGGAATAACATTTATTAAGAAAAAATTCTAAATTATTCTCCTTTTGCAATATTAATTTATATGAATTATAAAGGCTGATTAAACCTTAATACTACTAAAATGTTAGCAATAACCTCTAAATCTGTAAACTCAAAGTTCAAGCAATGACCTTTAAAAGAAAGATAGATCACAATTTTCATTTATCAAAGCCAACAAAATATTTTGCACTGACTGAAACAGATTATTGATCTTCCCTTCTGACTTTAATAAAAAGCTAATTTCTACAAAAGAGCAGGGTATTTGAGAATGGCAATAAATATTAAGAAATCATAATTATGGAAGCAAGTACATAGGGGCTACTTTATTTTGTGATGTTATATGGCATAATTCCAAAATTATGACAAAGAATTATCATAATGAAGGCTTCTTTTTTGAAGTACTTAAAACTGATCTCAGCTTATAAAGAGCTTCTGTCAAAGCATGTCAAGTTAAATAGAATTGAATTTAAAGTTTAACACTGACATACCCTAAGTATTTTATGTACTTCTTTAAAAATGTTAAACGTCCTCTAGCTGGTTTGTCCCAGTGGATAGAGTGTCAACCTATGTACCGAAGGGTCCTGGGTTCAATTCCGGTAAAGGTTATGTACCTGGGTTCTCCCCAGCAAAAGCCCTGGTCAGGGCACATGCAGAAGGCAACCAATCAATATGTTTCTCTCACATTAATATTTCTCTTTGTCTTTCCCTGTGTCTTGCAATCTCTCTAAAAATCAATGGAAAATATATGGGAGGATTAAAAAATAAATTAATTAAAATGTTAAATGTAACATAATTGGTAAAAACACCTATTAATTACAATGAAAGCTTGTTCAACTCCCATGCAATTATTATTTAAGTAGATGTATTTAGTATTAATCAAAGACAATCAGCATTCTTCACTCTTATTTACAGTAAACTATTTTTATGTAAAATATTTGTAAGTATTGGCAGGAATCCACAGGCAGTTCCAACCTTTTGTCATTAATTTAACAGTAAATTAAAATCATGGTAGATCTATGAAGCTCTATAATATTTATATTACTCAAGATCAGCAAAATATTTTTTAAATATCAATGTTTCTATTTTTCTTATGTTGATAGAGCACATTATTTATAAATTAACTTGTATAAAATATAACTATAGCTTTTAAAATGCTCTTAAAATAAAAGTTTATTCAAAAATGATTCTTTTAATAGCAAATAACATTTCACTTTATTTAAAAAGTTCATATATCATGAACTGCTAAATTATAAGAATTGTGTCAAAAACTGTAATTAATTAAATAAGTATGCCTGTAACAGTGTAAAAAGATAAAGATATTTGTGACCAACATCTATTATATATGACAATGACTAGGTAAAATGTTTTTCTTTTGTTGAGAGATCCCAAGCAGAATTTTATCTTTTTTATAACTCTATTTGTGTTTCTTAATGTTTTTGCTTAAAAATTAGGGCCTGTCATTTTAGTACAGAAACAGGAAAAGGATCTGCCATTTCTCATATAGGAGTTAACAGAGCTAAAAGGGGTTTATGCTGGTATGATTATGTTTGTAATGTGTTTCAAAAGTGGAGTAAAGCTGTCAGTTCCTAATCATGTCAACTAAGTAGTTGGAGCTTAAAAGTCAATAACCAGAAATAAGGAATCTGTGGTTTACATAAACCTCAATGAAAGAACATGACTTAGAAAGTAAATAGGAATCTCAGAGCTTACAAGCTTATAAACCTTAGCCCAGATGGAAAGAAAATTGGCTAAATGTCAAGATATGGAATGTTCTAATAGGAAATTAATGCCAGCAACAGGCAAGTGAGGTCAGATAATTTGCTCAACTTTCTCTTCAAGTTCATTTCCATCTAATTATAGGAATGGGTTGGGCTCACAAAAATAAAAGTGTATATATATATATATATATATATATATATATATATATATATAATCTATATATATAAAAGGGTAATATGCAAAGTGTCTCCTCTGGAGTTTGACCAGGAGTTTGATTGCTTGCTATGACATGTGCTGACCACCAGGGGGCGGCACGGAATGAAGGAAGGCCCAATTGGTCCTGATTGCCAGCCAGGCCTAAGGACCCTACCCGTGCACGAATTTCATGCACCAGGCCTCTAGTTCTTACAATAATACCATTTTTAAAGACATAATTTAAAAACATATCAAAATGATCAGTTAAAATTGATGACTGATAGTGAAAGTATATCTCAATGCCTGGAGAGGACAGCAATTGGAAATCAGAAATTCTAGTATATGCTTTAAATCATAGATCCTGTATATAAGGATCCATGGTCTATAGGACAGGGATACTTAAAGAAATAAGTTGACATAACATATATATAATAAATATTTAGCAAGGCTCATTATAATCTTCCTGTCTCCTTAAGAAATGGAAGCAGTGTAATATTCTGGAACAATGAACTAGTTGCTCCTCATTCAACCACAAACCATTGACAGTGTCAAAGGAACCAATCACTTCCAATAACCAAAATGGAAGGGTTAAAATGGAGGACATTTCTAAAGTCCACATCAAGAGGGACAAAACAGTGAAATCCTCACGTTTTGGGTTTGAATGTAACATCCTGAAATCATTTTCCTTCATTGTTAAAAATTTTACTGCAGTAGTAACTGATACTTTCAAATGAAACTTATTTTTTAGTCTCATTCTCTGATCATTTGAATTTTTATATAGCCAAAATAATCTGAAAAGCATAAAAATACATTTTAAGTACTTGTTAAAAAATCATTACATTACTTCTTTCACATAATGGAATAAAACATAGGTGTTTTGGATTAGTTGGTTTAGTTTTAGAATAAATTCCATTAAACAAAAACAAGTTAGGTTGTACCTTTCTTAAGCTGGATAGTCAGTCTCTTGCCTATTTTTTTGGTGTTATAACCACTGCTTACACTTGTTCCAAATACACTTTGTGATGCTGGGGCTGGAGCTGCCGGTGGCTTTCCCACGGGCTGTGTACTCTGAGGTAGTCGTGAGTGTGAGTCCATCTGCTCCGCCTGGTGGGTCGATCGGGGTGCTCTCTGCGGTGCCTGAAGCCCGGCACTGTTCACACTCCTATTATCAATATACTGGCTGTCAGGGCTGAAGCGGCCTGAATAGTCATTGTTCTTTTCACTTTGGGAGAGTTGTTCATACTGCTCTTTATTTGCTGCAGGAACCACATGGAACCAAATGATGGGTGTTCGCATGGCCTGTCGAAACATATGCTGTGCTCTGGGTTTGAGAATGAATGGAAAATTAGCAAATTAAGACTTGCAGACAAAAGACATTATGAGCTTAATTAAGTATACTGATTAAGCAACAAGAAATGATATCGTTTGTTGAGACTGAAAACCAAAATTTTGATATCCCATTTATCAATCAAGTTTTCAAGCTCTGATAAAAGCATAGCTGTTTCTCCAAACTTAAATTTCTCATTCTCTAAATAAAAAGGAGAAAATCATCATAACTACAGATAAAATACTGTGCTCTAAACTATAAATCATTAAATAATGGTTTTAAGTACAATGGAGGCATTATAATTGTAATATTAATAGAAATTAAATACAACCTCCTCTCTACAACCTCCAATACCACTTTTAAAAAATTATAGCCCAGCCCTGGCCGGTTTAGTTCAGTGGATAGAGCATCGGCCTTTGGACTCAGAGGCCCCAGATTTGATTCTGGTCATAAGCAAGTACCTTGATTGCGTGCACATCCCCAGTAAGGGGTATGCAGGAGGCTGCTAATCAATGTTTCTCTCTTTTCAATGTTTGCAACTCTCTGTCTCTCTCCCTTTCTTTTTTAAAAAAATCAATAAAAAATATATATTTTTAAAAATTATAGCCCAGATGGTATTGCTCAGTGGTTGTGGGTGGACTTATGAACCAGGAAATCATGGTTTGATTCCCATTCAGGACACATGCCCAGTTTGCAAGCTCAGTTCTCAGTGTGGAGCATTAAGGAGACAGCCAATCAATGATTCTCACTCATTATTGATGTTTCTCTATCTCTTTATCTTTCCCTTTCCCTTAAATTAATAAAAATATATTTAAAAACACACACATACACACACACACACACACACACACACACAAATTTCTAAATTATTTCCTATAGGGAACCATTTGAGCTTTTAAAGAAATAAAAATACTTAGAAATATGCTTACAAAACAATAGAAAGCACATTATGTATCAGCAAAATTAATCCAAGTCTGTGTATGCAAAAATTTTAAGAATAAAACCTCCATGATTCAGAATGCTTGGAGTCACTGACCCCATGCTACTCCACGACCAGTCCAGGAATTGCACTGCCTCATACTGATTGCAAAGTCCTTATGATTTCTGCTCTTTCCTTGTTTTACAAAAACTGATCAACTTTATCTTTGTATAAATGATCAGGATAAGAAAATCTGGACAAACCATTCATTGTGGTTCTAAGAACCTTTGCTTATTTGTCCTGAGAGACATTATATAAGACAAAGTTAGAAATGTGAGTTACAGTATAAAACAAACTGGTATCCTGGTAAATTTTCCAAAAGGTGAGAATAACAAAACTGTAAAGCCTAAATTGGGGCCATAATAATTTAAGAAATATTCTACCAATCAGAGGACATTTTATATTTTTAAAATATATTTTTATATTCATTGATTTCAGAGAGGAAGGGAGAGGAAGAGAGAGATAGAAACATCAATGATGACAGAGAATCACCAAATGGCTGCCTCCTACATACCCCGCTCTGGGCATCAAGCCCACAACCCACGCATGTGCCCTTGACCTGAATCAAAACAGGGACCCTTCAGTCCTCAGGCTGATGCTCTATCCACTGGGCATAATTGCCAGGGCCAGAGGGCATTTTAAAATACAGTCTGAAGGTAGTAATTAGCTCCAATTTGATTAAATGTTTAAAAGTTACATAAACCAGCCAAAATTGGTTTGGCTCAGTGGTAGAGCGTCAGTCTGCGGACTGAAAGGTCCCAGGTTCAATTCCGATCAAGGGCATGTACACTGGTTGCAGGCACAACCCCAGTAGGGGGTGTGCAAGAGGCAGCTGGTCGATGTTTCTCTCTCATTGACATTTCTAGCTCTCTATCTCTCTCCCTTCCTCTCTGTAAAAAATCAATAAAATATATTTAAAAAAAAAAAAAAGTTACATAAACCAGAAAATACTTCTCTCATACAAGGACAGAGATCCCAAATTTGGTGTGGGAAGAATTTCAATGACTGCACTCTATCATGCCTAATGAAAGGAAGCATTGCAGTGTCTCCAGCTCACACTTACTGTTCAAATCTTCTGTTTCGAAGGTCACCATTATTAATCCTGATAATGCAATCATTCTCATGAAAAAGGTTTTCTTGTTCAGCTTTACCACCTTTCTCCAGTCGTTTTACTAATAACCCGAGGGTTCTGGAACATTAAAAATGCATATCATTACACACATAATATTTTGCTCATGTACAATGTCCCACTGCTTTAATGCTGGTATTATAGTTATAGAGACTTCCTAATAAAGGGGCACATTAAATTGCTATTTTAAACAGCATTGCAGAAAAAGTTAAATAGTATAAATGATGTGTAGAAAAGAATCCTTTCAAAAAATATAACAAATCATTTCTGGTTGGTTAGTATTGTGTTTCTGGAACAAACTGTATACTTCTCTCGATGCTTAAAAATGCTTTAAACAGAACTAGCCTGATGGCACAGTGGATATGGCAGTGTGGGTTATGGATGAGCATGCATTTGTGCATAAGTTTGTCGGTTTTCTGTTTTCCACCAGCTGGTACACTGCTAATGGAAACCTCCATCTTACCATGAAAGTAAAAGGAGGGAGGAAAGACTACTTGAGCACATTATACATTTGAGAAGGAAAATATGAAAGAATTAAAAATAGAAGACATTGAATTCCTGGCTTCTAAAGTAGATCTGACCTAATATTCTGAATTTCATAACTTGTTAGATCTCCCTGTAGTAATTTGTTGTCATTATTCCTATTTGAGGAAAATAAGTAATAGGTTAAAATAATGCCACACACTCATCTCTTTAATGTATATTCAAACTTCAGGTTGAAAGAAAAGCCTGAATAAACTTTTAGAGACTAATGTGCAGGGGAGAAAGGTAAAAATTACTATTGTACATAATCTAGAACAGTGTTTCCCAAAGTGTGGTACCCGTACCCCCCGAGTTTGGTGGGGATATGCACTGCACCGTGCTTAGCTGCGTCTAATTCTATGTTCTCATGAGTACGAGGGGTACTCAGCGTTATGTAAATTATAGAAAGGATACACCTATGTCAAAAGTTTGGGAAACACTGCTCTAGAACATGAACTATTTGACTGACAAGGAAGGACATTATTCATTCCCCAGAGCAAACAGTAAAACTTTATAGGACACAATATAAGAAATATAAATTTTTACTTAGTTCTAGTGCTGTGACTTACTCGATGGATAGCATAAATTCTATATCAGAATCATGTTAAAATTTTATGAACTTATTTTTAGCCTCTCCAAAGTTTTATTTTATAATCCTACCATTTAGGAAAAAAAATGCTCAGATTGATAATACAATTTAGAATCCTGCATAAATTAAAGTTAAAGATACCATCATTTCCAATAGCTTATATAAATATTTTCCAATAGCATACAATTTGAAGTACCCTACATATATTTCCAGTAGATCTATACCCAAAGAGTTTCTTCTTTTACAGTAAGTGTTGTTATCTGTTCTGTGGCCATTCATCTTACTGCTCTGTTATTGTTATTGATAGACACGCTTTCTCTCTGCTATTGCACTGTAAGCTCTTAGAAGATGGAGAAGATGAGCTTCAATAATATGTGCTCAAGCACTTAACTAGTAGTAAGTGGTAAGTGACAATGGAATGAATGGGTGACTGAGTGTAGCTGAGGCAAACAAGTCTCATATTTCTAATTACCTTTTGCAAAATAGAATACAAATGAAATGAAACTGAAACTCAGATCCTTCCCTTCATGAAGGTGTCATTTATATACACCAAATCTATAATTGAACTGAAATAAATTAAGTTGTAGCAAAGGTCCTTCTTCAGTTATTTTGCAATTTAATTTTGTTTCTTTCATAAATATTTACAGTCATCATTTAACTTCATTCTAATTTTTATTATTAATTATAGGAAAGAAGCATTGTGTTTTATTAGGCCAAGTCTAACAACTAGCAAGAAAAACAAGATAACATTTAAATTGCCTACTGCAACTTTACCATTTGAGGATTAGCATCTACTAGTGTAAGAGTCGAAAAATCTAGTGAATGATATAAGTAATTTTTATTGCTTACTACCATATATTGGAAATAAATCAATATAAAAATTCTCTGAGCTCAAGGTAAGAATAAAGCATACTGACTTAGCTGCATGAGCAACTTAACAGACTGAATCTGTATTTGGAAGAAAATAGATTTCATAATATGCCACACCAATGATGAAGTTATTGTTAAAATATCATCATACCTAAAGTCTACCTCCTTTTGCTTCCCTATTGTTTAAGTTATTTCTATGTCCAATTGAACAGTGTTCTATGAAGAATCAAGTTAAGACATATCTATGATTTACTGGGACAAAATAATTTGAGAAATCATATTAAATCTCAGTTACTGATACTAGTGGAACAAGTAAAAGACATTTAGCTACTTTACCTTCAAAGGAAAATTTGACTAAATGACCCAAAAGCCATCATGACATAATTGCAAATGTGGTGCCACACCTGCTGCTACAAGCTGTTTCTACAGACTGAGACTACTTAAACAATAAATAAAAATACAGCACTGGCAGGTGGCTCAATTGGTTGAAGTGTCCCATAGGATGGAGGTTCCATTCCCAGTCAGGGCATAAACCCAGGTTGCCGGTTCAATCCCAGGATAGGGAACATGCAGAAAGCAACTGACTGATGTTTCACATCAATATTTATCCCTCTCACTCTCTCGCCCTTCCTTTCTCCCTAAATATCAATAAAAACATATCCCCATCTGAGGATTAAAAAAAAGCCCCACAAAACAAAACATGGTTTCTGCAGTAAAAAATATATGCTATCAAGAGTAATTCAGTTAGTTTTTAATCAGTGAAATCATAATTACAGCATTTCTTCAGCCTAAATTGAGTAATAATGTTTTTATATAGTCTAAAATAGTTGGTGTGTTTCAAAAGATTCCACAGAATATTTTTTTTAAAAATATATAGACTATGTTTAACAGAAATTACTTAGCAGATAACACTGATAATTTAAGTTTATAAATGTATCTCTAATAATATTAATTCAGTATTTATGACAGTTTAAAATAATATAACTTAGAAATCTATAATTTAACTCTATAGGTAGCATCAATATTTTTCAGATGAACAGGTCTATGGATTTATATTCATTTAAATAATTATTTTTCTTTTAAAATTTACTTTTTTCTTTCTGGGAATCACTCTAGATGATAATCTAAAGTAAAAAGGCATGGCATTCTTCATTTATGGCCAAATGCATCAATAATCCTAACAGAAAACTTTAAAAAGAAAAATACTACAAATAAACTACTACACTTACATAAAATATAACTGAGGTTTACTAAATGAAGCTTTAGAATTCAAAGTTGTTAAAATACTCACAAAATATCAGAATCCTATTTCTCAGCAGATAAGAGATAAGAGAACAGATGGGTGGGGTTAGTCAGCAGAGGAAGATTTTTCACCCTGACTGACATGGCAAATAATCAGGTAATGAAAGAACAGACTGAATTCAGAAGTTAGTAGCCTTCTGATTTCTAAGTACTTGACCAAACTATTAGAATCATTCTCTGAAAAAGAATGAATTCAGTTAAAAGTAAAGTAGCACAATCTGCAAAATTATCTTGTTAGCTTCACTAGGTGAAAATGGCTACAAAGCAATGGAAATGACCTATCAAAAAAAACTTCACAAGAAAATTAAACTGATAACATAACAGCTAGACTGAGAATGAAAAGTACTTTCTGAAGGGAAATCAACAGGAAGCAATAACAGATGCTTCCATCTTCCTGGAAAATGTGTGTGTCCAAGCAGATATATTTCTATTCCTCCCACATTCAATTTAAAGGAATCTCAAATAGTATATATAATTAAAAACAATTGAAGTACTTATCTTGCAAATTCAACCAGCAATTAGAACTTAACCTGAAGTAATAAAGAATTGACTACCTCTGGTATTGTGGTTCCTAAAACACTTTTAGTAAAGAAAATAACTGAAGGTAATGAACTTCAAAACATTTTGGCATGTCAATATGCTGGAACAGAGAATAGTTTTTCACCTTGGCGATTACCAGGATTCCTCATTAAGAGCAACCATTTTCCATCAAAAGAAACCACTTTGCAAAAAATAAGAGAAAGAGAGGGAAATGAGGAGCTGGACAAACTTTGTTTGGAGGAAATAGTCCAGGAACAGAAACAACCACTCAGAAAGAAGACTCGGTGTACTGGTTACTGGAACAGCAGAATTATGAAGATGTGGCTACAGGGTTATGGGGTATATGATACACAACCTCCTTGACCTCCCATATGAATCTAATATAAACCCAACATAGCACATATGCTTTTTGAGCAAATAAATATTTTTTCTTATTAATCTGAAACATCCCCAAACATAGTCTTCTTCTACTGTTTCTTATTAATCTTTTTCAAAATCGTGTGTATGTGGCAAAAGGAGGGAGGGTAGCGGGAGGGAGAATACTACATCCACGGGGAGGGAGAGAGAGAGAGAGAAAGAGAGAGAGAGAGAGAGAGAGAGAGAGAGAGAAAGAGAGAGAGAGAGAGAGAGAGAGAGTGTGTGTGTGTGTGTGTGTGATACTATATCCACAAATCTCACTTTTGAATAAATTTCTTTTAAAAAACGCAAATGAAATAGGAATTTTTTAGGGATGAAATAGGCAAGTTTAGGGAACTTTTAAAAATTAAAAGGTAACATAGAAAAAGCACATTCTATTAAGCTGCAAAAAGTTACAATTGCATACGACAAGGGAAAGGCAGAAGTTATATCGATATTTCCATAAAATAAGGGAACTGGGAATAACCAAAGATCTAAATTTAAAAAAAATAAAGAAGGGCCTCATATCCTATGTGCAGTTTGACCTTTAAGCACAGGAGTTTCTATATTAATCAAATCAAAGGAGAAGAGTGGCCAATCAGAGGGGATATCAAGGCATAAAAACTGCAGCATTGTTTTTTGGACGGAATCTAGAACTTCAGGCTGTGACTAGACTGCCAATGGACTCACCAGCGAAGCGTAGCACACGCTCGACCCAGGAGTTTTCTCAGATGCCTGGTGAAGGATATTCAGCTGATACTCAAGCTGTCTCAAAGGACTAGCACAGAACCTTAGTGACTTGACTCTCAACCCTAGTATTGCAACCCCTTCCTTTCCACCA